CTGCAAACTATTCCCGTACATGCTGGTCACAATGCGATTCCTGACTCTTTTCCTAATTCTGAATTTCTTGTAGTCTAACACTATTCTCTTCCACCAAAGTGGAAGCAAAACTAAAAAAACAAAAACTGACTGCACTCCACAGTATAAAATACTCAACACAATGAAACCCCTTTCCCCCATATCTTCTTTTAAAAGGCAATGTTAGATGTTACCATGTATAAAGAACGATGGGTTATCCTTTCAGTTGACAACAGGAACATTACTTCTTATGCTGCTATTAGGAGCAACAAGAGAACACAAAAAACCTATGCAGGATAAAAAATTCTTCTCACATAACTTCATCCTGCCCACAGTTTTTCAGAGACTTTGGGAAGTTTGAAGCATGTGGTGCTTCAGGCCCTGGTCATAAATGAAAACAGATCACATACCTGTCCATTCCTATCTGCTTTCACCATTGACCCAACTCCTGATCACACACATGTTAGCAAGACCACTGCTGTAGTCAAAGGATGGCTGAACTATGATCACCTTTAAAATATACATAACATTACTTGAAAGGGAAAAGAGCACTTTGAAGAACTGTATGGCTGCCTTCAACACAAACATGTACACACAGCATGCAATGCCCATATTTAAGTAGCAATTGATAAATGGATCTAAAGTGTTCTGTGATCCATATTAAATATGCAAAAGTCACCGAAGAGAATTTGCAAAATGTGCAAACAACATTTAATAAAATCTAAACATCTGTAAACATATAAGAGTAAATACATGTCTAACCATATCTACCAAAGAGCCTTTTTAGACCCTCAAGCGGCATATATTTGGCTGCTTTCCACAGCAGCTTCCTTTAAAGAAGAAAATAAAATACAGATGTATTGTTCATTACCGGCACTCTGAATAGCAAAAACTACTGACTGAAAAAGTCAGCCTTTGAATTTCCCAATCTGATGTCATATGCTTAATACAATATAGGAATTCGCCACAACACTTCCTGTATCTTTCATTTCAACTGCATTTTCCCAAGAGCATGTTGAGCAAAACCCGGGTGAATACAGACACCTTACAAAGTGGCATATTATCAACCAAGTGCAACTGGTAATCCCATCCCGCTAAATTATTTACAAGACCAACTACCCCACTGCACGTTTATTCCAACATGGGCACAGGTTCTATGAATGTAGTTTGTACGCATATACTCCAGACCAGAGGGGCATGAGCAGGTAATGTGTTTCCCTAAGGTGAACACATGTGGGGGGGGGGTAGCCATGTGCTTGGTTGCAAATGGGGCCAGCACATTTGGGCCCTACTTTCCTTCTACATGCACTGGCCCCTTATACATATACATCATACATACCAGAAACTTATACAGCTAATCAGGAATCCTCGAGTTCAAAAATTCTTGGTCAGATTGAAGATATGACCGTTTTTAAGCATACTGTGGTAAATTACGTGTATGTCACTTGTTACCTGTACTCAGAAAGAAACAGTTTCTTACCAGGCACTGAGGCAAGCAGGTAGGTGTATTAAATGTTGTGGTAAAGCAGTATCTACTAGGTCATGTTGCTTCATACACTGCCTTATGTTGCCAGTAATTGAGTAAGGCTGACTTAGGCCTGAGATGGTAAACATGTCCCTGAGCTGTTCCACAGTGAGGGAGAAAGGGTCAAATGACTGACTTTTCCTCCCCACCAAATTCTGTGTAGAAAACTGGTTCTAGCCTAGTCTTCTCTCTGACATGCCAGTTTTCTATAAGATGTTTTTTATAGAGGACTGTTCAGTCATGTAACCCATATCTCAGGCACTCTCACACACAAAAATAATGTGCTTTCAATGCACTTTGCAACTGGCAAAATCCACTTGCAAACAGTCACTGAAGTGGACTGAAACAGCATTATTTCGCATGTGTGAAAGCGCCCCTCCAGTTTATGGTACAGGCCATGGGGCTGGGTTCACTGAAAAAGTGGTAAGTGGATAAAAAGCAGGGACACTCCAGTTAACAGTGAAGCAAACGTGAAAAAGCACATATACTTGCTGAGGCACTTGAGAGGCAAGAAGAAGAGATAAATGATCCTCCTCTGAAACTTCGACATTTCCCGATATTACAGGAAAGTTGCTAATGTCACTCCCATCTTAAAAAGGGTTCCAGAGGAGATGCAGGAAATTACAGGCCAGTCAGTCTGACGTCAATACCAGGTAAGTTGGTGGAAACTGTTATTAAAGAAAGAATTAGTAGGCACATTGATTAACAAAACCTATTGAGGCAGACTCAGCATGGGTTCTGTAAGGGAAGATCTTGTCTCACTAACCTGTTAGTGATCATTGAGGAAGTGAACAAACATGTGGACAAGGGGGACCCAATAGATGTTGTTCACCTTGACTTCCAAAAAGCTTTTGATAAAGTTCCTCATCAAAGGCTCCTAAGTAAGCTCAATAGTCATGGGATAAAAGGACAAATAGTTTTGTGGATCAAAAACGGGCTAATAGGAAACAGAGTGAGTATAAATGGGCAATTTTCTCAGTGGAGGGTGGTAAGCAGCGGGGTACCACAGGGATCAGTACTTGGTTCAATGCTTTTTAACTTGTTCATTAATTATTTGGAGTTGGGAGTAAGCAGTGAAGTGGCTAAATTTGCAGATGACACGAAGTTGTTCAGGGTGGTGGAAATCAGGGAGGATTGTGAGGCACTCCAAAGGGAACTGTCAAGGACGGTCAAGTGGGCGTCAATGTGGCAAATGGGGTTCAATGTGGCCAAGTGCAAAGTGATGAACATTGGAGTCAAAAATCCTAACTATAAATACACGTTGATGGTGTCTGAACTGGCAGAGATTGACCAGGAGAGAGATCTTGGAGTCGTAGTAGATAACTCAATGACAATGTCTAAACAGTGTGCAACTACAATAAAAAAGGCCAAAGCTATGCTGGAGATTATTAGGAAGGGAACTGAAAACAAATCAGCCAGTAGCATGATGCCCCTATATTAATCGATGGTGTGACCTCATTTGGAATACTGTGTATAGTTCTGGTCACCACACCTCAAAAAGGATATTATAGCATTGGAAAAAGTGCAGAAAAGGGCAACTAGAATGATAAAAGGGTTGGAACACTTTCCCTATGAAGAAAGGTTAAAGCGCTTGGGGCTCTTCTGCTTGGAAAAACGATGACTAAGGAGTGACATCAACGTGGTTTATATGATTATGTATGGGATAGAGCCGGTGGAGTACTTTTCTCCCTTTCTCACAATACAAGAACTCATGGGCACTCAATGAAATTGCTGAGCAGTCAGGTTAGAACCAATAAAAGGAAGTACTTCTTCATCCAAAGAGTGATCAACACATGGAATTCACTGCCACAGGAGGTGGCGGCAGCTACAAGAATGGACAGCTTCAAGAGGGAATTAGATAAACGTATGGAGCAGAGGTCCATCAGTGGCTATTAGCCACAAGGTATAGATAGGAACTCTGGGGCAAGTGATGCTCTGTATTCTTGGTGCTGGGGGGGGCAACAGTGGGAGAGCTTCTAGTGTCTTGGCCCCACTGATGGACCTCCTGATGGCACCATTGTATGACAAAGTGTTAGACTGGATGGGCCATTGGCCTGATCCAACACTGGCTTCTCTTATGTTCTGAAGTACATGTCACAGGCCCACCAACATGGACACCAACTGCCACAACCACACGTGCAGTCCAACCTATCCATGTTACCTGAGAAGGATGATCCACTACATTCAATGGGTCTTACTTCTAGGTAAGCATGAATAAGATTGCTGCCATAGCTTTGGAAAGGAGGAAGGAAAACTCTTTCCAACAAAATACAACTATCTAATTCAGTATTCATTAAGCAACAATGAAATTAACACCACAAAGAATCAATACAGGGTATTTCAAAGCTCATCTTTCCCCAGCTTCACTTTCCCAATTAGACTACAACAACTTTAAAAGTGAGGAAATTATCTTGAAATGTTCAGTTTTAGATGAAATGTTGATAATCCATCAATGAAATGCTGTCTGTCTAGCAGGTGCAAAACAAAGACACAAGTGACAGTGAAGAGAGAGACTGTTCTGTGGGGAGGGAGGAGGCGGAGGACACAGTACTGTTCCCACAAGAAACAACTGACCATTTTTAATGGACCACTATTGTGTGACAATTCAGGAAATCCAAACAGGCAAAATAAGATCCCCTACCATGGATGTATTTTTTTCAACACATTTGGATCGCTATTTTATCCTCAAGAAGTGGATAAAAGGTAGACTTTGCCTCAATATGTATACTATCCATTCTAATTTGGCCACTGCAAGTACAAAATTTGTGATTACAGATAAATTAACCAGGAGAGTCATTTCAGCTTAACAAACAGGTGTGTTTTTGTGTACACAATATTTTTGCTCCATGATTGGAAGTTATCTAAAAATCAATGGGACATACTCCAAGTATGTGTTGGACTTGGGAGTATAAAGCTAGAAGCATTACCAGACATAAATAATAATCCTCAACCATTTCCTTGTTCTCAATAAGGCTAATGTATAACACACAGTTTGAGTAATTAAACCACTATTTATCAACTTTTTTATTTACACTCTTTGTTTACATTCCCCTCCCCAACATGAAGGCAGCGATGGAGCATTTCCTTAAGAATAATACTGGAGGATTTGTCGGCAACCCTCATAGTAGCCCGACAGACAACACTCCTATGTAACTGTCCATAGTTAAAAGGGAGTCAGCTACTACCAAGAATTCCAGAAGTGTTCATTTTAGGATCGATCCAAGTCACAACTACAAAGTGTTCTCAAAAAACCCATTCACATGTTCAGGAAACTGTCTGACCAGCATCAGACTCTGAAACCCACGATGACACTGCAGTATTTATTCCCCAGTCAGATCATAAAAACAAAAGGAGCAGAGAATCACTCACTCGCCCAACAGCACGCAGTGCCCCGACTCCTTCTCGTATATGCACACGAACAAATACACGCACATCCATACGGCACAGCGTATCTTACCTTCGTGATGACGAGCGGCTCCCCGTGTTCTCTTCCTCCTTTTAGTGTAAATCCCCATGGAGCTCCGCCAGTCAATTGTACTTCCACCAATTTGTACGGATCAACTCCTCTCTGCTCCCCCATCACCAACAGCTGCTGGTGGGTCTGCCCCTGGTCCAAAAACACGGGATTCAGCCTCGGATCTTTGTCCGGAAATCTTTCCGGGCCGCTTCGAAACTCCACATTCTCCATGACGGTCTGAAACTGTCCCCCAGTTTCCTCCTAGTTCGATCCAGCGTGCCGCCGACCTAGGAATCACACACCTAACAACAGTTTCCAGCCTGCTCCCATACGGGGAGGAAGGGGGATGGAGGACGAGAAGAGGAGGAGAGAAGGGGGGGGTTGCAACCCCCGAACGCACTGTGGCTCCTCCTCTCGATCCCGTTTTGTTCTTTCAAACGGCAGCCAAAAAAACACACACAGAGAGGAGGCAAAGAGGCGAGCCCTCTACACAACCGCCCGACAAAAGTAGGGGCAAATCAAGCATAGGAAATACATTGACGCCTCACGCATGTGTGCCCAGATCCGAAGAATACGCTGCGAGCTAAGGTACTTCGCTTTACCCCGGAGGAAGGAGAAAATTCCGGGGGCCCCCAGGAGAGGAACTGCAGACTAGCGGTGGAGCGCCTGCAACTTTCCCCGAAGGTGATCAGAGTTTCGTTCCGGAGATGTGGGCGGGGAACCCGCCGGAGGGGCTGGGTCGAAAGCGACGTGTGGGTGAATGGGAATGACACGCCGAACAAAGGGAAGAGGCTCGCAACGTTGCCCTCTCTTCCCAGGATGGGACGCAGGGGCTGCTGCGGGGAATGTGCTCTCCTCGCCCCACCAGGCAAGCGAATACCCGCCTCTGGCCGCGCGTTTCCACGTGGACGTGGTGCATGGCCTTGTTTAAAGGCAGGGCGTGGAGAAAGCGACGCGTCGCAGCCCAGCCCCGGGCAGGTTTCCTCGGAAGCGGTCGGCTGCGACTTGACGGCAATTTACACGCACAGGTCTGAGCGCCGGCAAGGGAAGCCCGCCCCAAGCCAAGGCGCCCAGAACGGAAGCGCCACTATCTCTGTGTTGCTCTCTGCGCGCCGGGGAAAGGGGAGCGCGAGGCCACGGAGAGTTCTTGGAAAGCACCGATTGGCTTCCACGTTTTCCCCCAGACCCGGTGAAGCAAATCCTAAGGCCACACCGCCGCGGTCAGCCACTTCCGCCTCCTTCCCTCCCGCAGGAGAAGAAGGCGGAGCCCGCTTGGACCCCACCGGGCGCTCTCCAATGGCCGCTTCTCTCGCCTTGGCTGTGTCCGAGAGGAGCCTTGCTCGCCAGCCAGCCGCTGAGGCGCCAAGCCGCCTTTTATGATGGGGGGGGGGGGGGGCCCCGGCGAGTA